AATGTGTTAAAATAGATATTTTTATTTTAAGAGTTTTCAAAACTCTTAAAATGCCTTTTTCAATGGCAACTGTTCCTGAATATAATTCTTTCTTTTCCTACATTTTCACTTACAGTTGGGACATTCACTGTGCTGCAATGTCTCCGACTCCAGCAGAGGAATGGGAAGAGTGCCTGCCAACACCTGGGAAATTTAATTCTTCCTTGAAATTCATTTAAGTACTCTTTTATAAGTGGTTTTCAAACTAGGCTAAAAGGTGGAAAATACAACCTCCACCACCGATACGCTTATATGTCATTTCAAAAAGACCTACATATGGAAATTTCCCACTTATGTATTCTGAGAGCTATCACTTCTGACTGCTGGTAATTGCCAATGTGTTCCATTTGCTTAGCAACAGTTTTGCAGTAGATGTGCCATTTGTGCAATCATAAAAGTAAGACACTTGCACATTCTCTAGAAGTATATGATGCTTCTACTGATTTTGTGCCAATATGTGTAATATCTTAGTAAGAGTGTCTGAATAGATTTGTCCAGATATTTCCCTCGCTGTTCCTTAGGGAAGCACCAAAGACACAGTCCCACCTTTTCCCTCTGCAGAATAGTTTTTCTTTCTTTACTTAAAAATAGGAACATTCTAAGCATCCCTACAGACTTACATCCGTGGTAACAGAGAGTTATACAAAAGTTTTCCCAGCACGAGTTGGTAACTTCCTTAACCTATTGACTTAATTGAAAGGTCGAAGAAAACGCAGTTCTTGCTTCAGTCAGGTTCCTCGTGCATTAAGGCAGGTTGCAGTCACCACCATTTACTGCTTAATAGAGGACCCAGTCCAACCAAAACAAATAAAGGGTTGCTTATATAAGTGTGTCTTGGTTTATTATCCCATCCCACTTAGGGGGTTTTTGATCTGTTTTGTGCCCGGGGCGGCAGCTGTGCCCACCAAACCACCTCCCCCGCGGTTTATTATGCTGTTTGTGTCGGGCTTTTTTGGTTGGTTGGGGGTGGGGTGGGGGGGTGGTTTTGCTTGGTTTTTGTTTGTTTGTTGGTTTTGGTTTTTTTTCCATTTGCGCTGTGAATGACCTTGCCGGCTTGGCTTCTTTCGCTGCTCTGCTGTGGGAAGCCCCGAGCCAGTGCGTGCCCCCCCCAGGACCCCGGGACTCCCTCGTTTCCCGCTGGGGGCTGCTCGCCCCGCAGGGCGCAGACCCAGGCTGCAGAAAGCCCGGGGAGCCTCGCTGCTGCGCTCGGCAGCCGGGCTGCTGCTTCCCGGCTCCCGCCCTACCTCTGCCGGGAGTTTTGCTGCACTACAGCTCTTCACCCCCTTCCGCCGTCCGGCTTGCAGCTGTGGAGTTTCTGCTGCCGCTTGCTTGCTACCTGCGGGTGAGGCCGTCCTGCCTTTCCACCTTGCTTCTCCTGAAGTTCCTGCTGCAGCTCTTTCTGCTATCCACAGGGGCAGCGTGGTCAGCTTCCCCTTGGGGTTCGTAAAGGAAGCTCCTTCTCCATCCCTTCTGCCAGCTGTCTCGGCCATGACTCTGTGAGAGGCGTTTGACGCGCGCCTACAGCGCCACCTGCAGCCGCGGAGGAATCACCGCACCCGTCCGGCCTAGCTGGGGAGCCGCCAGCGCCCCTACCGGCCGTGAGAGGAACTGCACCAAGGGGGAAATTGCTTGACAGCCGACAGACGGCTGTTGTTGGGTCTCTGGGGGTAAGGTTCCGCAACTTCAGTATCTAGCATTTATTCAATTTTTTTTCTTTTTTTTTTAAACAAAAAAGGATTTTTTTCACTTTCACCGCCTGCTATTCATTTTTCTCACTGGCAGAAGAAAAGAGAGTTATTGAAGCCCTTTCTCTTTAGAGGAAATGGTAATTCCAGGGTGTTTTCTCCTGAAATTTGTCTCAACAGAGCAGTGCATCCATCAGATAGGAGTCCACAAAAAACCTCCAACTGTGTAAGGGGTTATGAGCAACTACAAGCAATCTGTGGGGCAAATGGATTTGATGAAATTGTCCTCATCCTCTGTTCTTGTGTAATTTGTGGTAAAAACTACTGCTAACAAAGTTTACTTTGTAATATTCCTGAACGGCACATAGGCTGCAAAACTTTCTTAGGCTAGGGGTTTAACAATTGAAGGATTTCTGAATGCTCTTCCTGAGCTGCAGCCACAGTGCAGGAAGAGAAGCTGTATCCATGAGCTCTGCTATGAACTAGAGAGACCAAATACAAAGAGATCAACATGGACCCTCTGCTTTGGGCTGCCTTTCCTCTCATGCAGGCCTGTGGCTTAGCTTTAGAGATGAGAGCCAGCTGCGTCCCTTCCCAGTGGCTCTGTGCTCATCCCTCCTGTCACAAACTGCCTCTTTGGCCTCTGCTCTGCTGCCAGACAAGCTGCCAGTTTCCCTTTTCCTCTTTGCTAAGTTCCAACAGCACAGTTAAGCACAGCTCTGTTGTACATGGTAAAGTCAAGCACATCAGCAAAACACTCAAGACGTTTCTCAGTTCAAGCAGAGCCTTCACATGATGCAGCACACGTAACCTTAACATTGGTCTGTTGGTGACTTAAATGTGTCATGGAAACTTTCGCATGAATAAACACAAACCAAATATGATTGATGTCACAAACCTAGTACATAAAAGAAACTCTAAAATAAGCCAGTAGAGTAGTATTTGGTGTACACTGCATTCCAGCATGGTGTTTTTATTAATTTGAAACGTCTCAACTTCCTCAAAGTTATATGTGATTAATTAGGGATTAATTAATGGAATTATTGATATTTGGCACAGTTATAAACAATTGTTACTACAAGCTCTTAAAAAGAGCTTCCAGTGATTTCAGTGCAATAGATTACAACATTTCCTAAGCTGCCATTTTTAACTTCCACCACACATCACTGTCCTTCATAGCAGAGGTGACAGAGGAACATCTGTCCCTGGTACTCCAAGCCAGACTTTGTTCATTTAACACTAACCCACTTTTGCAAATCTAGAAATAAGGGACACATTCAACAGCACACCTATTGCATATGTAGTGATGACTGCTGACCCTTGGCAGTATTCTACAACAGAGTTGATAAAATGTTCCACCAAATTACTTGCTTCCTCTGTGATATCAGGCAAAGTATAAAAAGAAAAAACTGGCAATCTGTATCCTATGATACATCAAGAGAACTATGCAAAAAGTACCAGCATAGATGTGAACCCCACGAAGCACTGAGAATTAAATGCAGCATTAATGCTGGGGCCAAGCTGACAGTTGCAAATTTAGAGATTGTATCTTACCATGCTCTGGTCTCTGATCTGACACAATTATTGTGAGGTTGGTGAACACCAAGGAAAGTCAACAAGAATTTCAACAATCCCAGTACACAAAACTGCGAGATCAACAGGCAGCAGTACAGAACAAGCGCTGTTACGAAATGCAAAAATCTCCAGAACAATGGAATGAGGAAAAAAAGTAAAACCAAACATTGAGACACTAGTACCAGTACTATTGAGAAAATAGTATCACTATTCTGATTGTTTCTTTTTCCCTTCTTCTGTGACACTCCCACACTGTCACTTACAAGACCTCTCTCCAGGTCACTGACCTCTGTTTATGGAGCCTTATACTATTGTTACCTGGTCCCTAACAAATGCTGCCATGTCTGCAAGAACGAAGTAAGGTTTACCAAGTATATTGCAAAAGCTAGAAATGAGGCCTCAATTCAGAAGACACAAAGTACATCTTACCGGAAGAGTTACACATAATAAGTGGTCACCTATCAAAAAATAAGTACCAGCCATCTACAGAGATGGTACCATCCCCCTAAAGACCACTGCAGCATGTTAGAACACATGGCACATTTAAAAGGTAGGGTTTTTAAGGAAAAAGTTTTTTGAAGACTATGAACAGACCTTTCCAGTTCTTTATCATTTTGATTGTCTGCAGAAAATAAAAGTGTCCCTGAAATAGTTTACAAAAAAAATAAAAATTAAAAGCAAAGTCAGAAGCTACTGAACTGGACAATTCTTGTACTCATCCTAGAAAATACTTGTTAAGAGCCATCCATAGGCTCAGTCCCAAACACTGAACCTTTTCCCCTAAACATTCACCTCTCAAACAAATCTTCTAAGATTGCAAAATACAGGTGAGGAGTTGTGGGGGTTTGTTGCAGGTTTTTTAAAATACGTTTTCTATTTCACATGGGGTGTTTTTGCTATTAGATTCTAAAGCATACTACTTGTCTTGCAGGAAGTTTGCCACTGTCATTGTCTCCACAACTATCAGAACTTTGGATACTGGAGAGAGAATTACTCTGACATCTGAGTGATTTAAGCATGTTTGAAATCATGCATAGTTGTGTGTCACTTGTTATAGTACAGGGGTAACAGAGTTAATAAATGGCATCTTTGAAGATGTATATGCTTGCCCATTTAATGCTGCTGTTCATCTAAAAGAACAGAAGTAAAAGCTTATAAATGAAAAATGAAAAAAACCACATTTTCTCTGATTCATTGCCCCTTCTAGTTAAGCTCAGATTGAACTACAACAATAACACTTTCAAGTAGTAGTAAAGAATGTTTTATTAAAATGGAAGTTTTTCAAACCTTGTGTATCAAAACTAAGGCCACAACTAATGCTAACACAAAGTCAAGAACCTCAAAAGGTTCTTATATGATACAATTTAGAAATCTGAGACAAGGCTATTTTACAAAGTTACTCAAACATTCTGAAATGCAGCATTACTTACTTGTTCTAAAATATTACATCAATTATCCTAGTGATAATATTTAATGATACAAAGTACTGAATTATCAGTGCATATAACCCGTTTTTATTTTGGTCCTGTGACAACTAACTTTCTGCATCACTCCAGCTACCAAAATAAATGAAAGTACAAAACATTGTAATGGAAGCTGCCAACAACTCCTCCCTTTTGTGGTCAGGTAATTTTTTTTCTTCTAATGCTAAATATCTCCAGTCATAATAGCAATAAACTCTTCTTGATTGACTGCAAAAAATAAAAAAAGAAAATCATTAGAAAAACAGCAATAAACCTTAAAATAAAATAATATATCTGTACTTTAAGTAAAGGCATCTCTGTTAGTATTTGTTGCATCTGATCCATTACTATAAGTGCTTACAAATTTGCTTCTAGAGCAAGGGTTTTGCACAGGTTTTTTCATGAAACATGGAACCAGAATGCAACATTATGTGGAATACTAAACCCAGAATCTAGCTCACTTATAATCACTTATTTCTAATTATAAAAGTAAAAAATATTCTAAAAGTGAAATACGATTGAAAAAAAATCTCCGAGAACCATATGTAAGATGGCTATGCAAAATAATATTATTTTAAAGGTCTATAAAAATGTTAAGAATGGTACCTAAATTTTATTAAGTAAATACTTCTAAAGCAACAATACCTTAGTTAGTTATGACTGAATTCAGTTTTATTCTTAAAATGATAATTCAAAACATTTACGTCCAACTTGCCATCACAGATCAAACAATGCTATTCCTGTCTCCCCATTCTATAACACTTACCAAATACAAAACAAATTTCAAGTTTGTTTAGCAATTATTCCATAAATTCTATAGATTTAAAATGGACATTTGATGAGCCTTTCCCCATCTGAACTTTCTTCATTCTTCATTTATAACTAACAGAAGTTTTACACAAATGCACTTGAAGAAATTAAGTCATAATAATACATTAATTAGCGTTCATTAATTATTTTGCTGTAGTTATACCTGAGGTACTGACCTTACTCATATGTTAAAACAGTAAAACAGTGAACCAGTAAACATGTTCACTCTGCAACTAATTACTGTACTGGGGAATGATTAGAGTAAGATGGTGGTATGGAAAAGATAAGACACATACAAAGCCCTGGCAATTATCCATCCTAGCCAACATGCTCAAGCTATTCCTAAACAAAGCACTGCAAAGAAGGAACTACGTTCACAGCTAGAAGAATATTAAAGAAATTCAACTACGTTAAAGAATAAAAAAATAAAAAAACCTAAATATGTCCTGCTGTGATGTATGTAAAAAAACAGGAAACAATTATATTTAGTCTAGCTTAGGGCCCTATGCTCTGAAACACCAGTCCATCACATAGCTACATCTAGTCCTACGACACAAAAATGCTGTCACTGTATGACTTTAAAAGCACTTCCACAGCTTTTATCACAGTAACATACTAACAAAACAAATTCAAACATCGTCTCAAAAATATTCTCTGGTTTACAACATCCTTGAAATCACTCTTCAAAAGGGAAATATAACACTGTAATGACAAATTTTGGAATATTCAAGGAAACTTCAAAAAGCAGTGTAGTTACAATTCCAAGTAACCAAAGTAATCCCACTAAGTCCCCTTCAGATATAGCATCTGTTAATGAGTTAAGCACCACGAAAGCAGAAGCACTGTTTTTTCATGGCACCAGATTTCCCTCAATTCCATGACGTAAGTAATCATAAAAGAACAAACTAGAATCACAACTAATAGAAAGAGAACACTGACTTAGAATTTTGAGTGTTAAAGGTGTGTATTTTTTCAGAGAGGGGTTTGGGTACTTGTCTTAATGTTGTGCCAAAGAACTGAGACATGAGACTGAACAGTGTTTCCACACAAGATGATCAAAATTGCATGAACTGATATCATGGAGTTTTTCAAGTTAGTTGTGCTCAAAACCAGAAGTAATTATTAAACCCAGGAATACCAAAGTAAGATTATTTACATAATGAGGAGAGACAAAAACGCATCAAATATACTTTCTTTTACAGAAATGTGTAGTACTGTACTCTACCAGTAAAGCTCAGTGGGTTTACTGTGAATATAAGGGTTCATGTAACCTGAGTACCATACAAGATACCTTATTTCACTGTGAGCAAAACAATCTCTCAAATGTGATACGGGTTTAAACCAAAAGTGGTACTGTTCCTGTATTTGATATATCAATAAAAAATGCTAACAATTAACAGTTTGAAATTTTTTTGGAGAGCAGGAAAAGAAGGAGAATTAGATGACAGCAAGATTTTGTCACATTTGCCAGGTGTTTGAAGACAAATGAAATTGTGATTCACAGAATAATTAACTTTCTTAGAAAATACTGAAAAGCTAGGAACAGCCTCAGTTTTCTTTAAAGAAGAAAAAACCACACAGAACTTTAAGGATAACAAAAATTATGAACATTATGCTGTCACTCTTCCATATTCAATTTTCTGCTTGATTGCTCTAACAAAGACAATGAATGGATGATTGAATAAGAGAAAACTGAGCCACTTAGTCACAGCTGATCAATCTGATTTAAAAAAATGTAGCACTGACACAAAATAATGACTCAATAACCCTCCTGAAAGAAACTAACAGTATATGTTCCATATGTAGTACCCCAATAGCAATGCGACAAAAGAACATTGCTCCACAATTCTGACATCTCATTTGGCAGCTCCAGGAGATCAACACATGACAAAACATATTTGACAAAGAGTAATATTTTCACTCACCTCTATAGCTATGACTTCCAAAAATAACACCTACATTGAATAGCATAGAAGACTATCTGTTAAAAGGCTGACAACACAATTTTTTCCATTAGTATATATGTGTTTTGAGCCCATCGTATGCCCGCAAGCAAAAATATCATTGCCACAGGAAAAAACTGATGACCTGCTAGTGAAATCTAAGATATGAGTCATAACCCTCTAAGAATGGTGCTTGATGGACTGATACAAGTCTTTATGTGCAAGATCTTAAGTGAGTGATCCTCAAAATTCAAGAATTAAGGCTTCTAATGTAAAAATAAGGTTGTTTTGAAGATAATGAAAAACTTTCAAGTTTCAGTTTTCACAGTGATTTAACAAGCATAGTATCAAACTTCATTTGCTAATTCATTCTTTATCTACCTAGTAAGTCCCTTCTGCAGCCTACTCTGTATGGACTTTGTCAGTTACAGAGCCATTTTTCACACTATGCTTTTCAGCACTCCAAGGCTCAGAAGTATGTTAAGGAGTCATGCAAGCTGATCCTACATAGACCCAGGCTACTTCCAGCATGATTTATTAGCTTAATGCTCCATAACCAGTGCTGAAACCACAACAATGACACATTGCCACTTAAAATATATTGAGTAAGTGACCAAAAAACTTTCTCTCAGCACTTTACTGCTTTTACGGATTAATAAGGAAATAAAAATGTAATGTAGATACACAGAATCTCTCTTACTTCTACCTTCAACTACACTTTCACCCATCTTTTAAATAGACATTGGCTGAATAAGAGTTGGTGGTGAATCAATTCCTTAACTCCAGGATTAGTAGCTGTCAAAAGCAATCGTCTGCATTATTTGTAAACTAAATTATGCTTAAGATGAAAGTAATCTAGAAGGAAATGAAAGAGGACATTTTCACAACAAAATAACAACTAAAAAGAGAACAAAATTAAGAACAAGATGACATGGTAGTGTATTTGCCAACACATACTTTCTCCATCTCCATCCTTATCAAATTCTTCAATCATAGCTCGCAGTTCTTCATCAGACATATTTTCACCCAATTCTCTAGCAACCCGGCGCAGGTTTCTCAGACTTATTTTACCAGAGTCATCATCATCAAACAATTTGAATGCCTTGAGTATTTCTTCTTGAGGGTCTCTGTCCAGTATCCAATCTGTCACTGCAAAAAGGATACTTAAGTTAGACTAAAAAATTCAAAAAGGTAAACTCAGAATGACCTTTGCAAACTAGGACAGTATGAAGAACACATGTCTGATTTCACCTGTTCTTACATTTCTATAGAATTCAATGTGCATATTTGTTTGGCTGTTGCCTGACCTCTCTTTCTCACCTCTGTTTTCCAAAGTTGACCTCCTCTTGGGGACATAACTGCTGCAGTAGAAAGCTGCATGGCAGTTCAGTCACACTTTCCACACATTTTCCAATAGGAATTTAAAGTATACGCAAGATGCCTCTCTTTCAAAATTCCAAATTTTCAGGAAAAACACCATCAACTCTTTTAGATGAAGGTGCGAATTTTTTTTACTTTACATGTTTTCATCAGGAGAGAATTTTGAGCTGGGGAGAACACTGAAACAGTAAGTTCCACACAGAACCTCTCTTTTAAAAATAAAAGCACATAACACAAAAAGCTCCCATAACCAACCAATTGATCACATCCCGGCCCCCCAGCCTGAAAACAAAAAAAGACTAAGCACAGGGGCTACGAAGAGGATGCTGCTATGAATTACAAGATGTTTATTCTGAAAGGATTCTTCAACTTTTATTATTCTTTTCAAGACAACCATTTGTCAGTTTCTGCAACAGAAAATACAAACTTGCCTGGTGAAATATGAAGCAATTGCTTCAGAGTAACCAACAACAATTTATCTCCACATCTTTGGACCTACGAGGCTTGTATTGCAGGGCTAGTCTTGTATTATCAAGCCCTTAAAATCACATCAACACTGTTTGCACAGAAAGAACCACTTACCCATCTGCTCTGGCTTAGCTAACTTGAGAGGAAAGAATTTTTCATGCTCATACAAGCCAACTACAGCAATCAAGTTTATTTATCTGCAGATTTATCCTAAATTTAAATATTTTCTTTTAAAACAACAGTGCTGCAAGACAGTATTACACAATTTGAAAAGTGCTACTTTTTGTTGCAAAAAGGCAACTGAAAAATAATAAAATGTCTTTAAATACAAAACTATACAAGACAAAATATAATTGCATCTTTATGTATTTCAGTTGAACATAAAATTAAGAGAAATTGATGGCTCAAGAATTGCTTACCTATATTCAGCTGCTCTTCACAGTTAATGTCTCAATAAGCTATTTTATCTTACTCCCCAGTCTTTCTGTGAGAAGTGATATCATATTTAATGCTGTGTCAGTCATATGGCACCACAGCAATACGCTACTTCAACTCAAGTTTTCCAACAGGTTCAATCCCCTTCTAAGTATATACTGTACTTTCTACAAGAATTTCCTGGCTTCTTGCAGCACTTAATAACTCTTGATATTGACAGCCAGGACAGTACAAGAAAACAATGAACATGACTGGGCATCGGGAATATAAAAAAGTAATTGCATGGTAATTACAGTATTTTCATTTTATATAATATTACATAATATATTATGTAATTTTAAGACTAGTGTTACTATCAAATCAATACACTAATTTTTGTCCTAATACTTTCACATAGACTTTATAAATCAGAAAAGACCCAAAAATAATGTTTTCTAACTTGGAATACAACTATAAAAATATTACTTGTCAAATAATTAAATGCTGCCACATGTCAATCACTAATTCTTATGATACATTAAGATGATTGCTATTTGTAGCCAAGAGCAAGTACTGGGGATTTGGGTGTTTTGTTCCATAAAATCTCCAGAAATAAAATACCTTGAAGAAATGGACTATCATGAGCATAATGAACTATAATGGACATAATAAGCTAGAAATATAAACCCACACAGATTGTTTTTGGTAAACATAAATTGTATGCAAAAGCATAAATTATGCATAACAAAAATCCCCTAAAATCTTTAAAGAAACATCAAGTCTTAAAATTCTGCAGATCACCCCAAACTCAAAGTACATGAAATTTCACAATATGCAAATTTCAGATGAAAGACACAACTAGTGCTCCTGGCTCTATCAGCAGTTGAAAATTCTTGTACAATATTTAAAATTTACTTCAATTTCTCTCATCTTTTTTCTATATGAAGTCTGTAGTTTGCTTGTCTGTGTATGCATTCCTTCTCATGAAATTCACCACCAAATACCTTTTCCACAGCAGGGGGAATTTTACAGAGATCCATGAACAGGACAAGAACATCTACACTTTAAACTAGCATTTATTCCTCTACATCTACACTTTAAACTAGAAAGAGTTTGAAAGAGATTGATACCCTACTTCCTTTTATACTGTAGCTATCATTCATCTCTATATATCAAATCAAGAATTCAGCAAACAAATATTTATCTTCCTTTACTACTGACCTATATTAAACAAAATATTAAATGAAATCTCCCACTTCTGTTTCTTAAATAATTGAAAAAGCTCACAAAGTACAGCTTTGAAATTGTACTCACTATTATAGGCTAAATATCTCTAGAGGTAGAAACACAATCAAACACATACCAACTTCATTAAAATCTTCAAAAGTGATCTTGCCTGTTGATTCGCGATCATAATCTTTAAGTATTTTCAGGACATCAGCTTTTTTCACATCAAAACCCAAGGCTCTCATTGCCACCTTTTGGAATAAAATGGAAGTGCAGTCATAGATAAGGACTAAAATAAACATTTAATAGGTTTTCCTTTTCATTTCATTTATTACCTTCTTTCCAAGAGAGAAAGAGCATATCAATGGTTTAGTAACAATAATAAATAAATAAAAATAAAAGAGCTTGGGATATTAAAACCACTTAGAACTACTATTAGGAAATGGAACATCCAGTTACAATGAGAAAAAAAAAAAAAAAACCTTTGCATTTTCAGGGATTTTACAGACTGGACCAAATCCATCTCAGGACAAGTAAATTTATTCCTCATCTCTAAAACAATTTCAAAATCTTAAGACAAAACTGGAAGTCATTCTGCAAATTGTATGCAAGTGTATGTTCATGGATTTACAGGTCCTACAAGACTTTTAACTGCTTTTCTAGTCAGCCACAGAAGCCAACCTGCATTTTGCTTTTCCATTAGTGTAGAAGTCCACATTTAGTTTCCCATTTCACCTCAGAAGGCAATTGCTCAGCACACAGCACCCTAAATTCCTCCAAACTGATGAATACAGGCTAACCACATATGGAAAACCACTGAAGTAATTATTCAAAATATGCTGATTTTGTACAGGAGACAAGTAGTTTTCTTCTTTATGTGTTTCTGCTCTTTCACAGTATAAGCTTCAGGGTGAAAATATTTGATTAGACAGCTAAGAAAGAGCTTTTCAAGTAATGATGACAGCTGGGAATTCAAAGCATAATTCAAACCAGAAAAAGCATAAATGTAACCAAGAGAATGCCCAGTACAACTCTAGTCACAGTGACTTCCAGCAAAGATAAAGTAAGTAAACTGTGAAATAAAGAGAAGGGAATTGTTCTACCTAAGGCACTCCTGTAGCAGCAAATTAAGTATAAATAGGACTTTTCTCCTTCAAATTACTTGGTAGAGTCACACTATAGAGCCAATACACTGAAGTAGGCATTCTTTAAAAAAAAACCCCTCACTCTACGTGACTGAAACACTGGCCTGTCCAAAGCTACTTTTTGTTCTTGATGTCTTAATTAGAATAAAAATGGATAAAAGATTTAAGGCAAATTTAGTGAACCCCATTTACTACTCTGTAGACTTTCTGTGGGAGGTCTTACCTGGAAAGACATCCTAAACTCCATCTGCTAATAGCTATCATAAGGAGCATCCTTCTTTGGGAAGGGTAACTACTGAACCTCTCTCAAAAAGCACACCTTATTCCTACAAATCATAGGCTTTCTTTTGAAAAACACAGGTAAGCTTTGGTTTGTAGTCAACAGTTTTACAAACTTAATTTACATCTTCTACTTACACATCTGAAACCAACACCAAGCTTTAAGTTATACAGTGTTTTAAAAAGAATCAAACAGTTTTTCAAGAGTTCTTCCCTCTGTCCAAGCTTATCCTTGGACAGTTTTTCCATCTGTCCAAGCTTATCCCAGGTCAACAATTATACCAGGGTTATTTAGAATGCTATTGCACATGAAGTATATAAAGTGGGAAGAAAAGCTGATTCTTACACCAACAGAATATTTCCCATTTTTTCTTTATTTTTTCCTTTGCTTCTTTAACCCAGCAACAGATCTTGAAGGAAGTTTTTAAAGATATATAGCCAGGATCTTAAGAATCCACTATGGAACAGATATATTATCAGCTATAAAATTGCTTAAATGAAAGGAAACTTCTACCTTTAATTCATGATAATTTATCGCTCTATCCTTGTCTGTATCAAACAATTCAAAGGCATCTTTAATTTCTTGCTTCTGTTCTTCAGTCAGCTCTCTTCTTTTCTTCTTCTTAGTTTTGTCTACTGAGAGCTCATTCCTATATAAAGAAAAGGAAATGGAGTGTAACAGATTTCTACTGGGAAGATGCCACTGTAGATAACCTTTTCCTCCAATAAGAAACTCAGCATAATTTTAGGAATCGCTACCTTACCTAGTCAGTATTTTCCCAGCTTGTATTCCCAGTTTAAAATAACATCAGAAATAGACAATTACCTTGTGAAATCTGAATGACATCTCCCGGCTCCCACCCAAAATAAAACCAGCAGAGGCATTTTTGTTAATAAGCAGCAACAATAACAACAACAAAAAAAGAGGGTAGAAAAATTACCAGTGAAAAAGGCTTCTTGAGGTTGCAAACTAGATTAGCAGTTGAAATTATACAACTCATGAAAACAGTTCGTTTCTACACTGTAGCTTAAAAAGAAGTGAAACAAATTTGGGGACTGACAGGCCTGTGGAAGCCAAACTAGGCCAGACAGTCTGGCTACTAAAGCTAGCATTAGGTGCTACAAATCGGCTTTGTTGCCTGTAACAGTTGTTAGACAAATAATACTTGCAGGATTTTTTAAAAATCCTTTAGATCCCACACATACACATTGTTTTGAAGATCTTTTGCTCTGTTTTGGTATATACAAAAGAGAAAAGCCCTCCAAATCAGCAAATCTTGCTCAAAGACAGCCCCCTTTTCTTTGACTAGTCTAGGAATATGCTTATGCTTTTAGAGGAGCATAATAAAAGGACAAGAGACAATAGCTACAAAATTTAAGGGAAAGAGCTGCAGCTGGAGGAGAAACAGCAGCTGGATCTAAGGGAAAACATTTTCCCAGTGCATATGGTGACATGTTAGAACAGTTTCACTGGGAAGGAGTCTCCATCAGCAGAAAATTTTTAACCTGACAATAAAAGGCTCATCATCCTCAGCCAGCTTTATGCAGAAGGCGCTGTGATCAGGAAGCTGGACTAGATGACTTCCTTAAGTCCTTCCTAACCTAAATTACTGTATGAATTATGTTATATTCTCAGGAATATTTTTTTATTCTCATTTGTCCTTTTGCACTAGAAGCAGAATGAGTACTGTGTCACCTAGTGTAGAATGCATAAAGATTACTAATCAGAAAACTGCCTGATTAATTTTCTAAATCCCCTCTAATAAGCTACTTTATACCCTTCATTGTTGACAATTTGCTAATTTTAATCAAATCCTAAGCTTAAACACTTATCTAGCTTTTAACAACCACTGAAGCAAAAATCCCAAATACAGACAAGAAAAGTGTAAGCTGCAGAAGCTGAACCTGCTTCAAACCACAATACTCTCAAAGAGTAACATGTCTTTAACAGACCAACTGAGACAGTAAGATTTCACACAGGCTCTGGATTACTACAGCTCTTGAAAGGACTAAAATAACTCGGAGCTGGCTACGTAATTAGGGTAGTTGAGATCTAGGGAGCCCAGATTTTGTGAGCTACGATGAAGAAATCAATTTGTAAATCTGAAAGCAGATTAATACCAAACTCTTCTGAAAAAGCAATCTGAGTACTTAAGTATTCATTTAGTGCTTAGCATAAGATAATTAATCAAAAGAAAAAGCAGTATTCAAATACAAGCAGCTCAGTGCCACTTCTGCAACTACTTTAAGCATAGTAAGCATGAAGTTCTTAGACTTGAAAATTAAGGATAACAGTTGCCATGAAAGCGTATTAATTACACTTGAAGACAAGTATTTGCCAGGTACAGGGATTCATAAGCCAGGCTCCTTTATGCAATAGCTACTAAATCAGAATTTATAAACAAAGTAAAGCCGAGCCATTTAACTTTATGCCTATTCACAGGCCTTTTGAAAGCACATCAGACAACCCAGAAGCGAACCTCTCAAGGCCAGACGCGCCGGACCCTTCCCTCTTCCGGCAGAGAGACGGGCCCGATCCGCCCCCGGCCGCGCCAAAGGGATCAGATGTGACCGGCTGGAGGCCGGGGATGACCCAGGCCCCGCCACGGCCTGACACGCCCCACCTTCCGCCAACAGCTCCCGAACAGGGGACGGCCCTGAGGGGTCCCCACCCGCGCTCCCGAGCGGGGGAAGCAGGAAAGCGCCCTGCTCGTACCGACCTGAGGGCCAGGCTCATCGTGCCGCTGCCGGGCAGCCGGGTCCGGCTAACGCGCCCCTCCCCTCTGCACGGCCCGGCCGCGTCCGAGCCCCAGCAACGCGCGCCTGCCCTGCACGACGCCGTTCAAGCCACGCCCCCAACAATCACCTATGTCTGATTGGCCGAGGGTCGATAAACTCCCGCCTGCGAGTCCTAGGCGCTCTGCTATTGGCTGAGATGGTGCCACTCAGGGCGGAAGGGGCGGTCCCTGCTCTGAGCTGGCGATGGCTGCTGGCAGCGCCTTTGGCTGCTGAGCCATTTCTGCTGCGAAACGGGCAAGATGAGAAAGTTTTCCTAAGGAAGGATGTTTCTTGATGTTTGATCTTGATTTTCAAGCCTAATCAACAAGAAAGGAGATTTAATCCTTGAAACAGATAGAAGCTACAAAGCAAGCTTAAAGTGATGTCCAGGCGTTATAAAGAAAAATCTTTTGTTGGAATTTCCTTGTTAAGGTCTAGCGCACGACGTGTTTCAATGATGTCAGTCAAACAATTCAGAATTTCTTGGCCACAAGGACATTTGGCAGAACCCCCAAAATACGGAAGGAATTATTAAAGGCAACTCAGCAACTGTGCTGAATCAGCTTCACCTCCAGCAGACCACATACCAAGCTGCCCACCGACTCAAGGACTGGGCATGTGGACTAATTAGCATGAGAAGTAAGAGAATAATTAACAACAGACGATAGAATAATAATTAATAATAGAACTATGTAACCTGAAGCCAATGAACATTAATGCATTTGTTTGCTAAAATGTGTAAATACTAAAGAGTTGATAGTTGGCGTGCTTGTTTCATGGAATACCATGCAGCACCCAGGCTTGTGCAACTCTGAAATAAATAATCCATGTCTCCCTCAAGTATGTAATTATTGGCTTGTTGCACACTGGGTACCAAATCTGATTTTTGTGGTCAACACTTTTACTGGCCTTGCTGCAGCCTGGGTGGGTGGTGGCTCTGTCAGAACTCCCCGTAGGCCCAGGGCCTGCTCACTCTGACTGCTGGAGGTGCAGTCGGCTGTGGACATGCGCACAGAAGCGGCTTTTATAGAAGCTTTTCTGGCATTTGTACATATTTTGCCTGACTAAAATTTTGATTGAAAGCAATATGTACTGTGGGGAGACTGAAGACCTTAATGTGTAGTTCCAGTTATCACTGACACTAATGTTTTTGTGTCTTGCAAAACAGTCAGTGAATCAATATTACATATCTGTGTGGAGAAATGTGTGAAAAGTGCTGCCTCAGTGCTCTGATCTGTGGCAAAGTAATTGTCAATTACTTTGCTTCATAAACAAGAGCTGTTTCATAGCTAGCTTTGACAACATATTACAGCGTTACTGGACCATGATGATATTCAGATCCTTGCTAATACTATGTTATGCAGTCTGGCTAGATAGACTGAAAATTCTTAGGCAATGAAAAATTCCTTCAGGTGTTTCAGTCCTGACAGCATGTCTTGGAGATATTTTGCGCCTGTGTTTCCAGTAATAAACTTTTACTGTATTTACACTGAGTACAGAGAGTTGAAGATGTAGAGTTTGGCTTGCTCAAGATACATTTTTCCTGAACAAAGTCAAGCAGACATGAAACTTGTTTTGCTGTTTATTCATATTATGCCTGGTCTACAGATCAAATAGGCATAGGCAAGAGGTTTGTAATTGATCTCTGTTTACAGATGGTAGCTTTGCGACTAAAAGCATTAATTACTGGCAGGTTTGACCCTCAACCTGTACTGTGGTGCAAATATAACCACAGATTAATTTTTTTTGTGTGTTTCATAGAACACATTTACTTGTTCAGAGAGAAAAGGAAGCATTAACCAAATGGTGAGTGAAGTGTGGGAAAGTAGCACCAGGGGCCCCCAGCTGCACCAAGAGCCCCAAATTGCACTGATTCATCCCCACTCTCACCTCCTCTGCGTGCTGATCCCGGATCTCAGCATAGGGGCCCTTGGTTCTTGCCTGAGCTGTACTGGGGTTATTCCTGTTCTGTGTGCTGCTCTTGCTGACATACTTACCAGAGTTCGTGGCCTGGCCATGAACTTGAGTCGTTACCTTGCCATTGTCTCCAGTCACTGGGCTGCTTACAGGTCAAGTTACTCTGAAGGGAGGTCACAATCCCTGCCTGTGTTGTGACTGCGCTTCGCTTCCAAGTTGTCCTCTCTCATGGTGTACCCGTGCCCTGGCTGCTCTGTGTCAAGCACAGTAAAATACCTGATACTGATAGTCTGTGCTTCTGGGAACCGGCGATCCACATTCAGGTCCCTACTTCTAAATTTATAAGCTAAAAAGAAACCGAAGTTCCACTCTTCATACATTGATTTAAGTTAGCAGCAGTGCTCATACTGCATGAGAAATGGAGATGCAAAGAATTCCAAAGAGAAAAGACAGGCTCAAACAATAATACCTAAAAATATGGTGGTGGTGGCAGTGACTTATAGATCCTTGCATTTTCAAAGTTGGCTAAACCTGTCCTAAAATGACCTCTTATGAATAGAGTTGGTAAGTTAGAATAGCACTAGCCTGTTCCTCTTGCATACATATTGTCAGCTCAATAAGGAAAATAATTAATAATAAAATATACTTAAAGATGTTACTGGCTTTTACTTAATTTTCAAACTCATCTATTGCTTTAAAAAGTCATTTGTGGGGCTGTCTGCCAGGTCTGTCTTCCCTTTGAGTGAAAATAAATTCTTCTGTAGTCCTAATTTTATTACTATTTGAAACTATCCTACCACTCTGTTGTGGTGAGTGAATTTGAGTGTGCAGAAGACCTCATCCCAACTGCTCAAAATCAGATCACATATCAGAACTGTAATTAAATTAATCCTGAATTTTTTAAAGGAGAAGTTGGGCAAGATTTCATGCAAGTCCAGAGAGTTCTGTTCATGTCACTCTTAGAACAAATCATATGTAAAAGTACAAAGCCATGTTAAAAACATACCAAGTATCATTGCCAGTTTGATGATTGTGAATGCATTTCTTTGTGCATCTGGGCCAAACTGCTGGGAAATACCTGGCACAATCGCAGAAGTGTTGCCTAAGTTTCTGAGCCTTTTTCCATGTCAGGTCCTTTTGAGTTGTTCTTTTCTTGGTAATTTTTCAAATTACCCCCCGTGGGCGGGGGTTGGTTGTTGGTTTTGGTTTTTGTTTGTTTGGGTTTTTGAAGTTTTTATTGTTTGTTTTTCCAATTTTAATTTCTGTTGAGTGTCTCATTGCCTCTCCAGGACTCTGTTGGGCATGTGTGGGAATATGCAGTTAGCTCTAAAATAATTTTTTAACCAGTAATTTTTAAATTATTGTGAGATTAGTCTGTCCAGTAAAATCTGAGTCGTTAGGAGTAACGATGCTGAAGATGGTTTTGGGTAGCACAGTAAAAGCAAGGAGCGGGCTCATAACACCGCTGGTTTCTATTTTGATACTCGATTGTGTTATTTTCTTGGTAAATGCAGCCCCCGCCCCACCCAGTGGCGTCGCTCCCCGCAGCGCGGCGCTGGCGCGGTCAGCGGGCGGGACAGCGAGGGGACATTCCCACCCTGGGGACACCGCACGGAGGGGGCATCCCGCCCCCACGGAGCCTGCACGGGCACTAACAGGCTGTGGGGTGCGATCTCACTACGCCAAGCAACGCGCGGCTGGGTAAGCTAGCAAAGTGACTTCGCAGCGTTCTGGAGTGCCTGGACCACCGATGCACCTCGAACGGCTTTCTGACTGCCCTGAAAACCCAGTGCAGTACAGCTAAAATGGTTTGGCTAGCAGCTCCCTCGTGTAATAGTTAACGTCAAATAAATTTAAAACAGAACATAATGAATAGGGTTTTTTTCATTGCTTCTCGATAATTTCTATACTTCCTAATTCAATTTGAAAGTGAAAGGACTTTAGATGGAGTAGTAGTATTTTGGGTAATACATGGTTGAATTTTTAGACCCAAGAGGTACTGCTTACTGATTTAAGTTACATGTCCATTAATTATAAAGAGGAACTTGGACCAGTGTTGGTTGAATGCTGAGACCTAGATTTTTAACATTAAATATTAATAATTCCTCCTTTTCCTCCACCTTTATCTCCCTCATGCTCTCCTTAACAGAGCTGCATTACTTTGTTTTTCTTTGGCTACAGATGTCTGCTCTTACAAGGCAAAGTGCATGTACAATGTGTAAACATTTTAAATGCAGTTTCTTTCTCAGAAGCATAATTCTGCTAGGAACTTGTAAATATAGTCCATCTGGAATGAAAAGTGCTTCTGTTGAGAAATACCTAGAAATCATTACTTAAGTGCATAGGCTTATAATATTTTATTATGATAATACATGAAAAAAATTAATTATGTGCAAACAGTAGTTTAACATTGTAACAGCCTTGACATATTACAGAACAAAACTTCCCATCTGATTTTTATATCGATTCCCCAGTCTACTGAAAACTGCATTAACATATATTTAGATGTTACAAAGAAATCAACACAGTTCTAAATGCTCACATGACACAGTATTTAAACTTACAATGCATTTTTAAAATATTTAATCCAAGTAGTGTTAAAGGACGACTGTCAAACTCTTATGATTAAAATCTGTTAAGTCTTAACAAAAATAATCAGAAACCATTCTCTTAATTTAAATATTGTTTATCTGTTTATAGTAGTGAATTTCTCGCAATACAAAAAATAATTTCATAACTCAAAAAACTACTTTCATTTGGATTAGCAGCAATTTACTAACAACTCCACTTTGGGTTACGTGCATGTCAAGTTCATTTCTGAGCTAGAAAATTATCCCCTAGATTTTGGTAAAGTAAAAAAGTCAAAAGTTTTGGTTACGTACTTAGTGGACTCAAGCATAACTTAACAGGGCATTTTGAGAGTGACCTGACCATTTAAGGATCTTTGCTGACAGAGATGTTGAGCACAGATTTAAACACAAATTATGGAGGATGGAGGTTATTCTTTCCTTCTGGACTGATGTTGCCTGTGAGTCTTGTAAAAGCTCAGGCTTTAAAATATAGTAAAATCTGGCTACAGAGATTCTAATATTGGATCAAATGAACAAACTGATAGAAGTATAACACAGAATGCCAATTCAAAGTGATCTTACTTTTCTAGTGAACATCTGCAAAACTTAGCAACTTGACATCCATACTGGCAGGCTTTGAATTTCCGGGTGACTGCTTTAACACATAGGGTTACCACCAGGGCTCCCAGAGTCTTCACAAAAGCATTGTTTAAAAAGAATGATTATTACTGGTGTTACACCACTGTCAACTAATTTGGTGTTCAAATACTGTTGGTAACCTGTGACACCATGGCATCCTCTGAATAATCAGAGTAATCTTTAGAGCTATATATACCTTCAGCCTGCTTCCCATGCTGTTTTTGTATTTCTTCCTCTGCCAACTGAGGCAAGGATAAACACCTCTTGGTTTTATGAAATAAGTCTACCCACTGAACACTCCTCACGTCATACACTGATGTACATGGATTTCTCAAAAAAAAAAAAAAGAGACCATGAACTGACTGGTAACAATTCTTTGAAGTGCTGCATCTCTGCACATGGCCTGCCCACTCACAATTTTGCTTCAGCTTGGAGATAGGCACTTCTAAGAAGAACTAGGCAACAATCAGTACAAATCCTAGTAAAGAATATATTCACAGTAAAGGCAGGAGTGCAGTCATCTATGAAAAGGAAAAAGCCTTACCTAAGATACTTGCTTTTATCATTTTTATACAGAGTTGCTTTTTAAATTTTGTAATAGGTTGGTCTTTTTTTCCACAAGAATTTGCATCTATTTAGAAAGCTATCAACTTCCTCTCCCTCATGCCTTAGACAGAGCACAAACCTCTGGCTCCCTTACTATTGGCTATGATGGGGGCAAAACCTTTTGCATGAAGTGAAAGCCAAATAAGAAAAGTTAAACTGCACTAACATTTGAGAGAAACATTTGCAGTCTTTTTTGGAACACATATATGTCTATGTACAAAAATAAATTCTGACAGTGTCCATTTAAAAAAGTTAAATATATACAAACTGTTAGAATAATTACACAAACTAACTATTGCAGCAGCTTTTAAATATCACACATTCAATTTTCATAAGCAAATTGCAATGCTATTTAGCATTTCTCAATATACTCAACATATTTTTTGGAACAAACTCAATGCAACACACTTTACATTTCAGAACAACCACGTGCAGCACATACTTCAGATGCAAACAGTAAACCATTTGAGTTACATTCACTTTGGGACAAAAAGTGTACTGGCTGCTTAATGCAGCACCTTCACTATGGCAAGGTCATGGTAAAGTCTCAATCCCTCCCCTAACACAGATGATTAACAACCAAGTTACAACACTGTCACATGAAAATACCCTTTAGCATAAACAAATGCCTTAAGTTTGTCACAGTTCCCTTCTCTCAGCCTTCCAGAGCAACAAACTCTCCACATATTTTTATAAGCTGAAAAAAATAAACGCATCCAGCAAAATCTCAGTCCACTTTGTACAGGGTAATGTAACACATTAATTCACTAGTTCACAAATTGTCTAACTGCTAACTCACCAGCCTACAAGCAGAACAGTTCCCTAGCCAATGGTGAGTGAGAGTGCTCCTGCTTCCTCCCTCTCGCCTGGTGCAGTGGTTCCCTGCACCACACCTGGAAACATGAAAGCCTCAACAGTCTGTCTGCACCAAAACCTTTTGTGATAAACTGATGTATCTGCGACTTACAGCTTCAAAGTTTGGTCTATAGAATTACCACGTGTTTGTGTATTCAAAGGAAATGTCAAACGAGTACTTTGCAAAGATAAAGCTTCAAGTGGTGAGAGGCGCAGCAGATAACCATGCCCACGGGTGGCAATGGCTACAGAATTATCACTTTCTGCTCACACACTCCTGCATAGGTGTTGCTCCTGCTCTGACCTAATGGGACTGCTCCTACCACACACTAGATCTTAGCAAGAGTTCTCTTAGGTCAAAACCTGAGCAGGAGGTGATGAATAATCACAAATCTAGTACTATATCAACAAGGTTTCAAGCATGAATGTTAAACCTCCCCTTTTAGTATATATCCATCTGCCAGAGCTGTAACAAAAATAAAACAATATATTTCAATTTAAATAAATAAAACAATATATTTCAATAAAACAATATATTGCAATACATGTAAAAACATGCTCTGAAAAAGTAAAAAGAAAAACTATAGCTTTGGCTAAAGCTACTAGTTTACAGAGTTTTTATAAAAATTTGAATAAAGTAAAAAAACAGGGAGAATTTTTTAAGCTCTCCTGTATCAATTGGCCATCTTTTTGCTAACACATACTGCTTCTGCTTGTTATTGATGCTTTTACAACCCATTTGGTTTTACAGCATGTGACAGATCACACAAAATAAACTGTCACTGAGAAGTGATTCTTGAATTTGCAACACGAAGTGCTATGCTTGCAATGGATCTCATAGCACACGTAGAGATCTTGTGACAGATTCCAGCTTGGGAAATGTAGTTGGAAGCTAAACGATACAGCCTTTCTGCTCCAAATATGTTAAAGTGCCCAGGCAGTACCTTCTCCACAAGACCTCTATCTACTAACTCCATCAGGCGCTGGCAGCTTGCAATGTAGTCACTGATTTTGCTGTAGGGTAGCCAGTCGATCATAGATCCGTCATACACCACATCTCCGCTGAACAAAATCTTCCGGTCCTTGTCATGTAAGCAAATGCTGCCTCGTGAATGACCAGGCATGTGCATCACAGTGAGCTGTCGATCTCCGAGGTTGATCACATCCCCTGCAAACACATTTGTTACAGGAAATTGTATGCATTTGCCATGTTTCTTAAATGACATAAAGAGAACTACCTACTCATATGCAGCGTTGATACATACTACCTATTGCAACAGTGGGAGTGGGGCATTTATTTTCTTCGTGAGTGCCAAAGAGGTGTCCAAAATACAAGCTTAGCAAAAAAGTATTTTCCAATTATACTAATGGTTAACACAGCCTTGGGTTGTGTTAATGAAATATACTCACATTCTAGTAAATTGCACAATGTGAAAAGCAATGCAGTAGAGAAAATGAAATGGGAACAAAAAGAACACAACTAAGCTGGTTCTTTGACAGTTTGCAAAGAACATATTTCACAATTTATTATAATTTTACCCTTAGAATTGCACTGCTGTTACTCCTAAAATGCATAAGGCTAAAACATAAGAACCAAGACAGGCACACACCGGTCTTGACACACTTTCTTCACTTCATTCATTAAGATATAAAAACAGAACTTTCTTACCATTAGGTCATTTTTTTGACAGCTTAAATGTGAATGCCTTTTAATTGTACCAGCCACTGAACTGATACTTGTGTTTCATGTCTCAGTTAACATCTTAGAAATTCTGATGCTATTCTGGCAGCCAGTGTACTTGCTCTTTGACAAAACTATTTTTTTAAAATAATCCTCCCTACTTTTTGACGAAAAAAACAACTGAAACTTCTATTGATTTACTATAGTTAAATGTCACTATAGTTATTTAACTATTATTACAGTTAAATGTCATCCAATCTTTACTGAAGCCTTCAGTAAGTTCAGTTCTGCTTTTCCAGCACTTATGTGAGATGGCCTGATAAAGCCAAGAAAAGAGTAAGCACTGTGCCTAAGGTGTCACCTGTCTGACACCCACTCTTTAACATCTACTGAACAATATTGCACAGTTTAGGTGCTTTGTTACCAAAAAACCTAGTCACTGTCCCCCATTAGACACTAAATGATCTTTTTTTATCGGCAACAAGCCACTTCTGTAACTGCTACATCAGTAACACGTGATTTTTAAAATTTTACATAAGTCAGGTAAAATTCAGTAAATGTATTTATGTAAAATTCACGTAAATTCTGTAAAATAAAAACTATTCTCAGTAGATATTTCAGGAATTGTCCTGTTATCTGCACTTTCCATGTTTTGACAGCTTATCAACAATAAAGATCACCAGATGTCAGAACATGACCTGCTGACATACCATTTGAAGCCTAAGGGTAAACCTGGGGTATTCAATTAGTCAACTAAAACATTACTGAGTGATTCTTATTCTTGATGGAAAAAAAACCCCAGCCACCAAAACCTTCAATAAAAACGGTTTAACCCAGTACAAGTCTTTTTGGTCGCATGCTGACTGCGGGTGGCTTTTAGGTCCACAGGAGTGACGAAATTAATCGATTTGATTGTTTTACACGAGGAGCTGGGTAAACCAAGAGGCGCTCAGCGGCAAAGAAGCCGCTCCGTAACACCCAGAGCACTGCGCCCAGCACCCCTCGGCGCGGCGAGGCCGCCCCCTTACCCTCGTGCAGCAGGCGACTGGGCCGGACGGGCGGGACGCGGAACTGCCGGGCACTCCAGCCGGGCCGCGGCGGCCGCGCCACCTCCCGGTCTGACAGCCACGTCACGGCCTCGTAATTGTCGCCTTGGAGCAGCGCCGACGCCTCAGCGCTGTGCACCGCCACCTCCTCGAAGTGCTGCAGCCCGCCCGAGTGGTCGAAGTGGACGTGGGTGGCCACGGCCAGCAGCGGCCGCGGCCCGGCGCCCTCGGCCGGCGCCAGCAGCCCGGCGTCACGCAGGTAGTCGGGCAGGCTGCGCAGTCCCAGCCCCGCGTCAATCACCACGTCTCGCTGCGAGCCCCGCACGAGCCAGATGTTGGCCCGGTTGCCCGACTCGTAGAAGCGTTCCTGGATCCAAAAGATACCGCCGCCCAGGGGCTTGTGCGCGAACCACTCCAGCGCCGACATGGCCCGGCCGGCGCTGTGGGCCCGCGAGCCGCCCCCCGCAGCGCCCCGGCGGCGGCACGGGCAGGGCGGGGCGGGCGCAGGCCCGGCCCACTGCGGCAGCGGCAGGCGGAGCGTGACGGGGCCGGGTGAGGCGTGGGGAGGCCCGGAGAGGCTGTGGAGGTTCAGCCGTGGCGCGGCTGGGCGCGGGTTTGAGCCCCCTTCGCCGCTGAGACCCGCCAGAGGAGAGGGTAGTAAAGGCGAAGCGCTGCGGCCGTGCGGGGAGCGGCGGGACCCTCTAGGGGTGACGGGCCGTCAGCGAGGGGCGGGGAGCGGGAAAGGAGCGGAGAGCAGCTGAGAGGGCTCTTCTCACACGGCAGAGGTTAGCGACCCTCCGGACAAATATCTTCTCCCCCTTACCTTCACTGGCTTTAGTTTAAAAAGACACCCACATAATCTCAGTATTCAATGTTCAGTACTTTCTTTTGTATATGTTCTTCCCTTTAACTGATGGCACCTGCCTCTCAAAATCAGAGAACACAACCACCAGAACACGATCAGGAATTTTGTTGTGAGGAAAGCGTAGGATACCGAGAACTCGTCTGAGCGCTCAGTCTTCTTAGGTCTGCTGTTGTTGCACCAGCGGTCCGGCAGCTGTCGGGGATCCGGATTCCACGGATTCCCTCCTGAAACATCAGCTGCCTTCCCCTGAGTAACGCCCGAGGAACTGCATACGTAGGTTTGGAGGAAATTGAAAAGCCTAAATCTGAAAATCTTCTCTTTTATAGATGACACACAAACTACTCATAAACAAGAAAATACACCCTGTTGATCCTTTAGAAATCCCCCAGGGTAAACAGAACACTGGTTGGGGTAACTTTATCATCCTTAGTGGCTTAGTTGTCTAAATCTTCAGGATTTTTTCATCTATCACTGTCACTTTGTGCTGTCAGTAAACATAAACATTCTGAGGTTTTTAAAAAATTGTAAGTTTGGGTAAAAATGTGAAGTTGAAATGCTGCCAGTTTTAATGCTTATTCTCATCAGACTGATGCCATGTAATTTTAAGCGAATTTACTAAGAATTAATTTTAAAGCAGCTTTTAAAAAATGTACCTTTATATTCACTACATTTAATACCTTTCCTTGTTAGCTTAGCGTCTTGTTTAACTTGTGTTGTGTTGTTCTGCTGTTGACTTTTTTTTTTTTTGTATCTATATAATTTTCATGTTTGCGGCTTTACAATGTCTTTTATCTTCTCTATTCTGCAAGGCTCACATCTTACTTTTCATGCTATTCATCCTATTTTCAGAGGACCTTCCCTTCCCTTCCCTTCCCTTCCCTTCCCTTCCCTTCCCTTCCCTTCCCTTCCCTTCCCTTCCCTTCCCTTCCCTTCCCTTCCCTTTTTTTTTCTTAAAAAAATATTTATTTAGGTCTCTGTGCTTATTTATTCTGTACTGCAGAGTGGCATGGAAATACAGAATATGATTTTGTTTTATCCACATAGAGCTTATTTCTGTTGAAAGTAACAAGTAGTAAAAAAACTGGCCTCAACATGTTTTCTGTGGCCTTAATAAAAAGGTCTTTGCTTCTGTCTGGGGGGAACCAGGTGCACTCGTACAGGTGCAGCAGTAAGTCTGGAGCAACCTGGTTGTACCGAGCAAGTACAGTGACCTTGCAGTTACTTGTGAGCAGCTCACGGGATTTCTGGGCTCGGACCTTGCACCAATCTGAGTCGTCTGTGGGAGTGATCAGTATCACAGTGCTTCAGCTTCTCTTGGAGCCCATTTATTGACATCTTCCCCCATTCTCACATTTTGATTTGTTTGTCAACCCATGGGTCATGCAATTCATGAGATGAAGCTTGGTATAACATGAAAGTGGAGAGAAATGACTGTAAATGTTTTGGAGACTCTTCTTTTATGACCTTTTAAAATATTTCAGTTAGAAACAACAAACTTTTTTTTTTTTTTTTCAGCAGTTATCTTGCAGTCCTGCTGGAGTTTTTCATGACTTTTGATTATCTTAATTACCTCTTTGCCTGGGTCACTTTTTCAAGATCCAAAAATAGTTACTAAGATTAAGGACAAAAAATAGTCAGGATGAAGAAGTCATGAATGACAAACACAAACTGCCTTTTGGAGAAAAGTTCAAAAAACACACTAGAGTGTAGTCACAGGAAGTTCAGGGTTCTTAAACTTTTTTACACCTGTTTCTGGTTCTTCTGGTTGAACCAATACAGTGCATCTAATTTCAGGCATGCAGAGGTGGCTAGCAGAAATAAGTGAATGAAGCTGATTTTATGCTTGTATCAAATTTACAGTCTGTGGAAGAATCTGAGATAGGCATTGAAAGTGGCTTGCTATTTAAAAATTATTTCTGGTTTTAAAATGCCTGTAGTCTTTGTTAGATGCTAACTTTCTTGGTAATATGTACATCACTTTGAAACATGTAAGGAAAATATATCTTTAAAGATCTATAATATTTTCAGTACATCCAGTGGGTCAGGTAGAGGAAGAGGACATGCTTCATCTGCCTTCAACATGGAGGCTATTGGCTTTGGTAAGGATGCAGATGAAATATATGAACACCCCTAAGAATTTTGGATTTTATAATAATGTAAATCACCATTTTTCTTAATTCATCATGAAAGGGGCTTTCCTGCCCCTTTGCTAACTGTTGTATCACATATTTAACTGGATTGCTTGCAAAGAGTTAGTGCATTGAAGTCCTCATCATGATTTGGCTTTCTGGACATTGCAAGAATAGATACACTGGATACTTGAATTTGTCTGAAATGAGTTTACATTAATCTTTGAAGCTATAAATTTGCTGATTTTAGAAAATTACTATTTATGCAAACATGAAAGATTGTGTATGATTGTCCTGTACTGCAGGGGCCAGCATTTGAACATAACTGAAAGATCCTTCGTGTAATTAAGGGAGCGTAATTGAGACTTGGCATTTAGGATGTATTTGAAAATCAAAGGGGAATAAAGACCATCTTCTGACTGCATTTTGATGTGCAGGGAAGCTTTTGACTTACTGAACCATATATTATTGATCCTCTTAATCCAGCATTGCAATTAAGATGTGTGATTTCATATTACTAAGTCATCTGTAACTGTTTTTCATGTGAATGTTGCAGTTTGCTTGGTAGCACAATTCTGTGCCATCTGAATTCTGTATACACTGCATCTTTTGAGGTACAGTCAGTCTTACAGGAGAATTACTAGCCCCAGTACATTTAATGTATACCCTGGAGAAGGTAAAAGGTTTTCTTCCTTCTGTGAACAAAATTTCAGAACCAAGTTAAACTTCTCAGGGCAAATCTGATGTCATTCAGGAAAATCAGAGTTAACCTAGCTGTATAAGTATAATCAATAAAAAATTCAAGTGTTGATTTAATGACTGGACAATGACCAAAAGTATGTTACAGCTTTGACTAACTTACAGTGAAATTATTTGAAGCAGTGAATTATTGCTGTTGCATATTCCTATTAGACACTTTCTGAGTTCACACAAAGTTTCTGTAAATGCAATTAGAAACTCAATTAAGGAATATCAGCAACATTAAGTGATTTAAAGTGTTGGCCAACTTGCAAATATAGATGGAAGCAGTAAGCTCCTTTCATGGTCCAGATCTGGGACTTCTGATACACTTCATGCTTTGCAACCTACCACTCACGTATTGATTTAGCACCATTTATCACATGAGAGAAACAACATCCATTCTATAATTTTGCCTGTAGTATTCTGGATACTTTTAAAACTGTTTTTGCATATTTATCTTTCTCACTTTCAAGGTTCAAGTTAAACAAAAACAAAACACCCCAAAAGCAAACCCCCACAAAAAAACTCCCTCAAATCCCAAAAATCCAACCCTTAACATTTCATTTTAATTCATCTGGTAGAAACTGTGTGAGGGCCTGGTTTTAGACAACACGACCTCATGATAATAGTCATGAGAAGAGTGTCCATGTTATTAGATAGCATAATTAATGTAGCTGTAACACTATCATAGAAGTGGTTAAGAAAAATACCACTGACTGAAGAGAGAAGGAATGGTTTCTGAGAAAGTTTGGTTGGTGAGAATAATTGCTTTTGGCAGTTAAGAGTTTAGGATTACTATGAATGACTGTGTAACAGTTTTAATAATTATTTCCCCTTGATTTTGTACAAAATGCCACATCTGAGGGGTGGGTTATAATTACATCAGTGATGGTCTTCAATTTAAAAAGCTTGTTTTTATCTCAGTTGTAATGTGCAGTTGTCTCTGGGACTGCATTCTGTGGCAAAAGTGGTCTAGCTTTAAGAAAACTGTGGAGTAGATTATTTTTTACTGATATTTTCTGTTACCTGGTTAACAGAACATTTTGTAAAACTAAGAGGGTGTTACAAAGTGGGCTGTAAGCAGGAACTTGATAAATTGTCTTTGCTACAAGAGTGAATGGATTGTTATAAAACCTCAGAGCAGTATCTATGAGCCAGGTGGTCCTTTGAAGTGTGAGAAGGGAAACGTTTTATTAGTTAGGATGTATCTGTCTATCTTTCATTATTCGGGTAGCAAATGAAAGCCCTGTCTCCTTCTACCTGGAAATTTTGATGTGAAATGTGCCAAATAGCATAGATTTCCATCATTCAACACTCATTTTGAGAGAATAGCAGGCATATTCTATAGAAATTTCTTTATTTACCCCACTATGTAAGTTATGAATCACTCATATTTTCCTGTAGGTGTATCTTCCAAGACTGGGTGATTGCCACCTTTGCAGTGGTTTGGAAGTAGTTCCTTGGTTGTGAGTGGCAAGAGTCAGTCAATGTATTTTTTTACTGATGGCATCAGCAATTTTTTCCTCACTAAAGAGCCTTGAACTGAAATCAAAACTACTTGTTTCTTTTCCTCTCTTTGCTGATAGTTTCCTACATCTATGAATGCCCCTTGAGACACTGTTATTTTAATTGTAGACTCTTTCATGCACAATTTTGAGAAGGTTTTCTGTTTGCCTTCATAATAACTAAGTTTAAGATTTAGCTTCATCTACGATGTCTTCTTTTTCCTTGGTGAGTATGC